GTGTACGGGACTACGTGTAGCTACTGTACGGGAGCACGTGTAGCTAGTGTACGGGAGCACGTGTAGCTAGTGTACGGACCCACGTGTAGCTAGTGTACGGGACTACGTGTAGCTACTGTACGGGACCACGTGTAGCTACTGTACGGGACCACGTGTAGCTAGTGTACGGGACTACGTGTAGCTACTGTACGGGACCACGTGTAGCTAGTGTACGGGACCACGTGTAGCTACTGTACGGGACCACGTGTAGCTACTATACGGGACTACGTGTAGCTAGTGTACGGGACTACGTGTAGCTAGTGTACGGGACCACGTGTATCTAGTGTACGGGACCACGTGTATCTACGTTAGGTGCAAAGTTGTAGGATGTGCAAAGCAGCTATTTTTCCCTTGGCGGTAATTACACGAACATGTCGCTGAAGTCACGTGAAACATGTAGGTGAGTCATCAGTTGAAACCCAGGCACAGATAACCGATACACAAATGCGAATATCATCATCAGTTTTATACAAGTACACAAACCCAACTATGATCCGAGTTTCCAGACTCCCATAACTAAACATAAATACGAATGAATTACTGTATATGATAAACACATATATACATAGCTTCTCTCTTCCTCTTGCAAGCCAGGCACTCCAAAGGTAATCACGAAAATGCAATTAACTGATCACGAAGAGAGGTATGCTTGGTTGGTTGCCTTGTCCGAATTTAATTAAATAACCGCAAATGTTGTCTTCACGCAGAAGAACAACAAGTATTGCCATGTCCATGTCCACAACTTGGCGTCGTTTCAGTTTTTAAACTTCGAGACAATACGGCGGTTTCGGAGACGTGTAGTTTTTTATTCTAAAAAAACAGTCGCTTTTCCAACATCCAGCGCTGAAAAATGCGCGATACGATAATAAGCTGTGTTTCGCCCGACTATGTGTTTGTACAAATCTAATAAAATTCAGGCAACCGTTAGAAAAATAACACAGCGCACGTAATGTACAAAACTAAAACGGGTGCACGCGTTCCGCGAGAAAGCTCTTTGCGAGGAGACTGAAAGGTGCATGTCGTTAAACGCTTCAAAGCTAAAATATGCATCGTATGTAGTATACTATGTGAGAAGCTATCCTTGCTCGTAGGGACAGCCACAAGTGCTCCCATTGTCTCCAACCGCTAGAGGTGCGAAACCGATTGCTAGGATAATCTATAACGTCGCACAAGTGGTATAGACAACTTTTATGTGTGCAGGACAAGATCTAAAATAAGGAACACGTGAACACATAACTTCATTCCTACATTTCCGTGGAACTACTGACACTGGGAATTGTTTTCCTTGTCCAGTTCACAATGATATAGGGCGAGTTCCTTAGTGAGGTAACATGACTGATACAGAAACTAAATGTAAGGTTTAAGATTTACACTGCTGCGGCACAAATGGCAACTAGCAAAAAAAACGTTCGCGATCATAACATACCTTTCGCCTGACACTTATGACCGTCCGCCACCACGTAAAGGTATTTACAAGCGATCAAACAAACAAATTGTTAGCAGCATACCACAAGCTCACTCAAACCAACACGTTTGCTTGCACTTCTTCTCCATCAAATGATTGCCTCACACTACCAACGCTCTGCAATGGGCTTGTAGCTTATATGCTGGCAGTGAATCAAATTTCTTGTCACTGTATAAACTATGGCGGTATATGCGCTGGATTTGATGTAGATCTAATCAACAAAAGATGTGGTCACTAGAAATGACTATGTGCATTCGCACAACCTGCCCCCCTGACATCTGCGACACTATTCTATGCTGCTATTGGCTGTTGCAAACTGATACCTTGTCATTGTGATGATTGTATTGGTTGCTGAAAAATGAGATCTTGTCATTGTGATGACACCATTAGCGGCTGGCAGCAGATATGGTCTCGTTGCAATGCGATTGGCTGCTGGAAGCTGACGCCATGTCGTTGTCACGATGCTATTGGCTGCTGCGAGCCAACGACATGCCGCTGTCAGAGTGCCATTGGCTGTGGGCTATTGCCATGATGCTGATGGTCGCTGCAATGTTGTTATTGGTTGTTTGGAGCTGACGACTTGCCCCTGTAATGCTGTCATTCGCTGAAGCCTGACCATTGTGGCGTCACTATTGGCCATCCCTGGGATGACACCAGGCGGGTTTTGGCTCTTGCTTGCTTTGACTCTTCTATTAGCCCATGCCCGCACACATCATGAAGATTCTGCTGTTGGACAAAGATGGCAGTGGAGGGAGGCTGCGACGCTGCTATTTGCCCATGTTGCTATTGGCTGTTGGCTGGTGACGGCGGTGGATGGATTTCATGCTCTCACTGGCCCCCGCTCGTGACGAATCTCCTAGTGACTCTACTGTTAGTGGCTGCATGTAACGCTCCTTAAGGACCATACTCCTAACCCCACTAGAGGCCGACAAGAGCAATGTCGGGCGAATGCAAAACGTGGCAATTAGCCGGCTCCACGATGTCGTCGCGATGCTGACGTGTGACTGCTCTTCTCTCGGTTGCTTCCTCACTCCCACCATTCCACTTCGCCGTCGGCCCTCCGCTGCGCCATCATTGGCCGCCGCGCCGCGCCGCTATTGGCCGGCGCCATGGTGCGTTGCCGGGGAGTTCATGTCGCTGTAGTGCTGCTCGTAGGCGTGCAGCACCATCGCGCTCGTCTGATGCTCGACGAGGCTGCTCGTCGCGATCGCCAGCGGCAACAGCTTGCGCGCGCCGAACGACGAGCCGACCGGCATCGCTGCAAGGAGAAAACACGAGAACACGTGACAACGCTAAACAAGCAAACAGGACGCGCGGGCGGGAGGCAACGAGAGGGGGGCGAGCAATTATCGGCTCTCTCGAGACATGCATCTCGTTCGTATATCGGCGAGCGATACTCTCTTTGCAAAACACGAGACCGTATTGTTGCGAGACAACATTTGTGAAGGACAGTTAAACATTAGCATCGTTACACTCGTGTGCGGTTATAGTCTAGCTATAGGAGAACTGGCTACTGTTTGTCTGATCTCCTAGTATAAGAAGGGGTCTTGCCAAAATGCTGTCTTAAACGTTATTCAGTCTGGCTCAACATCAAGTCATGCCAAAACAAAAACTAGCCTGTCGTATGTTCAACGCCACTGAAAAAACGCGTCCGAATATCTGGCCCCAATTGCAGTGCAACAATTTTCAGCAAGACTCCTACAGATTGCATTATGCAGTGATTCCACCTATATATAGTGGCCTAGCAGAGCAGTGCATCGCGTTGGTTGCACGTTTATGTCTGCAACGATGGTCGCTGTTGCTTGCAAACACTTGTTGTTCCCTATAAGAAACGCCATCTCTGCGCGGCTGACCTGCATGTCAGCTATGGGATGACAGCTGCAGTCTCCTGCAAGCAAGCTCACCGTTAGCACACAAACGCTTCCCACCAACAAACGAGATGTAACTATCCGGGCCGCAGCGAGACACTACAATGCGGTACACTCATACAAACTCGCTGCAGACCGGAGATTAGTGGTAGCAGACACGCAAGATAAAGAGGGAGCACAGAGTGATGAGTGGTGACAGCAGATTTCGGGCACATGCCCGACCCCCCACATCACAGGTTTGTCAAACAAGATACATGTCACGCAAAATACGCACAAAATACAAAGCTGCCTTCGCTCCAACAGTGACACTCGCACCAAGACACTCACTACCGAATCACTCGCACGCACGCACACGCACACTCCTCCGCCACACTCGCCAGCCTGCACTCCTCCTATTCCTGCATGATTAACACGAGTGGTTCGAAGCGGCCCGTACCTTCGGAGCGCATGCGTTTGAGATCGTGGCCGTCGGCGGCCTCCCGCGATCGTTTACGCCCGGTTATCGGCACCAAGTTTTGGCAGATCTCTGGCTGTATAGTGGCATCTCCGCCTGCAAGAGAGGGGCACCATTGTTATTCTAGGCTCGTCAACTTAATGGTGTGAAGGTTAGCCAATGTTCGCGAAAACCTGCTAGTCCTAGCGAGGAGTCCCATCAGCATGATCGAATTGAGTCGGCACTTTAAAATACAAGTGCCTGAAAATGTCTGGGTGTAGCGATTTGATTGTCTCTAATACTCTCTATTTGAGGGATATATAAGCGTTAGACATTGACAGTATTGGATTCTGCAGGAAATTCCAGCACCGTGATAACATATTCATTCCTAATATCTCCAAACAACTTTAATTACACTGGATTCCTAAAATCTTCCCAAATCAATGCAAAAGGATCAGCTGCAAAAAAATTGCAAAGTGAGATCAAATTTCATTATTAATTAACATCATTAATTCATTGCTAGCAGAGGGGGTTGCACCTACAGTGCATAAGCCCATGATATTGTTTCTACATATCCTTGACAGTTTCCAGAATGATCGCGAGTATGGATATAATTAATACTCGATTAGTGAATTAAAGATTAACGAACTCTTCGCATCTGCATAGAGACAGTAATTGAGCCTCGGGTATATGAATGCGTGCACGTACGAGGACGCCAACCCACGCGCCGTGTGTGCCATCACGAAATGTCATAGAGCATGGTCGCACGGTGCTGCCACCTACACGCAGCTAAGAATAGCAGTAGTTGAGTGAACTTGGTTGCTCCCGGTGCAGCCGCGCGCCTGAGCACGAAGATCAATACAGCCGGTTAGGATGTGCTGGCAGCGATCGCGCTCGCGAGCCCCCACGTCTGGCCACCACAATCAATACACACACACTCCCAGCCAGCTAGCGAATAAATCTCCCAATAATAATGCACGCGGGGATATGGCCGCTCTTGCTCTCGGTCTTTCCCAACGACAAGCTGCACATGGCACAGCAACCCAGCTTTGCACCCCGCCCCGCAACGCAATAAGCTGTTCCTCTGCCTGCACAGCAGCCAGTTCTAAAGATGGTGGCGATCACGTGGGCTTGTGGCCGTGAGGAGGATTAAGGCAACCAGTTATTAAAGTTAAGCGGCTTTCATGACTCTGCATTTGCTTTTACGAATTTGATTAAATTTTTAAGCAAGCCTACTTCGGAAGGTTAGTTATTTGCATGCGCTACAGTTTCTGAAAATAGTGAAATGTACAATCAAGCTTGTAAAATATTAAAGGTGTTACGGTTCGATATTATTATACCATTCGATAAAACTTCGTATAAAACCGCTTCTAAACTACATCGTGTAGCAAATTATACTTTTCGAATTTAAACCGATACTCATACGTACTCAGAACACTAGGGGGATAAGGCTTCATGCCTTCGCCACATTGATTTCTGGGCAGTGTGACCTGATGAGAAACCATTGAGGGGAAGAAGGTGTTTCCATTTGCAGTGCTGCCATTGTGTTGCTGCATGCCGTTGTTCTGCTGGTGTTCCATACCGTTGTGCAGGTGCTCCATACCGTTATGTTGGTGTTCCATGCCATTCTGCTGCTGTTCCATGCCGTTCTGCTGCTGTTCCATGCCGCCGTTTGCGTGATGCGCCATACCACCGCCGTTCTGGTGCGCTTGCATTCCATTATGCAAATGCTCGACACCATTTTGGTGGTACTCCATCCCGTTCGGACAGTGTTCCATCGCGCCGTTGTGGTCCCCGTTTGCGTTGGGCGCATGCACGGCTGCTGCTGCGTCCTCGTCGTCTTCCATGTCGATATCACAGTGGCCATTGCTGAAGCCATTCTGGTGGCCATCCCCGCTCGCGCCGTTCTCCTGGTGACCGTTCAGGTGACCGGCACCGTTGACCAGCGTTGGCGTGGCGACGGCCAGGGTCGGCTGCGTGGGGGTCGGCGACGCGCAGAGCCTGGCCACCACCAGGTGGTCGGCGCAGTTCTGGTGGTTGCACATGCGTGCGAGATCTGCCGGCGTGTGGCCGTTACGGTTCTTTATGCTGCAACCGATGAAGGGATATTAGCATTAGTACTATATTACAGAAACGCGTGACGATGGAGCAATATCGTAATATGGCTCAATTGCTCCCTGCTGCTTCTTGGCGAGACAGAAATGAGTTTGCTGGCACTGGTTATGCCTTATGCAGTGATCGTAACAAAAAGAGGAACGTTCTCTTCTGTCAGTGTTTTGCCAGGATGCACATTCCTAAATGGTCTCTCTCTCTCCCAGTTTTAGCTCACGTTTTGCAACTCACTCTGTATCAGCGCCATGAGCCACTAGGAGACTCAGACACTCCAAGCTGCCAGATCTTGCTGCCTTATGCATAGGTGTCTCGTTCAAGTAGTCCTGAAATAACCAAAAACCGGATACGGATTATTACATGCTGCAAAATTAGAAATTCAAATACAGTTCCGAATTGAATTTCTCACAACTTTGCAACGGGCACGCCAAATGCTTAGCAACAAGATTTCCAAGGTCTTGCAGAAGAAAGATAGGCCTACTGTTATAAGGTATGCCTTGATAATTGCTTTTACAGAAAAAGTGGCCATGACAATTTGGCCCCGGGCCCCCAACATCACAAAGACGGATAAAATAAAATGAGACGCACAGACTAGATATTCCTGCTGAAAATATCCCCCCCCCCCGAGGTGTGCGAAGAATAATCTGTCTGGAAAGTCTAGTCGCAAGCGATCTACATACGTCAATTACATTGTGCTGCGCGTGTCACAGCCAATGATGCAGTTACATATTATATTACTAAATTTGCCTTCAAACATTTTTCTGATAATGTAAAATATAGGCAATCTGTGTAAACTATAAAGTGGATACGCGGAAACCGTTCTCTCGGTAAACGCTACAGATTTTTCTCTCGAAATCACATTATGTTACAAAATGTGGTTAACGTTAAAAACTTTGTATTCGCACTACAGCTGAACAATGTCAGATTGACTTGATCGTGGCAATGAACGTGTCACTCCGCCAACCCCGACTCCTGCACGCCCTATCACGTCTTATTGTAACTCTACTGTGTCTTGCATTTTGCTCCCGCTTGAGGCCGATAGATAGCGAGCAGTGAGAGTGGAGGCAGTAACATCATCACGTTGTAGAGCGATGCGTTCAGCTTCCCTCTCTTGATCATCACCATGTCAGAACTCAAGTGAGTATTGTCGGCAGGAAGCGTCGATGAGCGTAGCAACCGAACTCACGGTATCGCGGTGTCAGCCACCAGGTGGTGCCATGCGCACCCACACACAACAACGACTAGGACAGGTGTCTTAGTCTTGCCTCGACTCTTGCATCTTTTGGCACCGTGCTCCCACTGACATGCACTCAGGTGCAGCATGAAGATACTTTCTTTATTCATGCTCTGCCTCCCCATCCACACCCACATGCACATGCCACTCCCCCATTTACTATCTTCACACCGACACTCATTCATATGCCACACCACCCTCACCCCATCCACCATCTGCACACCAACACGTGTGTTCATCTGCCCTGATGCTTCGGTGGCAGCGTTGACACCTACCTGCCGGTTGAAGAGTGACCCACAGTGCAGCAGCCACTTGAGACAGTGTGTGTGTCCAGCGAAGGCGGCAAGGTGGGCAGGCGTCTGCTGAAAGCGCTCCGTCGCCCAGTCGTTGTGGCAGCCGGCAGCAATCAGCTTCATGAGGCAACGCAGCTGGAAAATAAACGCACGTCTTGCGGGTCAGGACAGCGTACACTGCGAGCACGCGTGTTTGTGGGTGTATGTGTGCGTGCGTGCGTGCGCGTGCGGTTCGTGTGCGTGCATCCACCTATGCATGAGTGTACGGGCGCATGAGCTTGAGTGCGCGCATGTTCTTGCGTGTGAGCGTGTGAGCGTGTGAACGCGCGCATGAGCTTGAGTGCGCGCGTGTTCTTGCGTGTCAGCGTGTGTTGATCACGTAACAGCCTAATCAAACTACTCATCTTGCTGGGACGCAGCAACGTAAAGCCGTTACGCAACGGCTAATCTCCCCAGCACGCATGCGGCTTGTGCGCTCATCACCCCTTACAAGCCTGCGGTGAGAGCTGCTGTGCAGGCAGCCACTTAGTATGGATCAGATCTCAATTTGATAATGCGATACAGTATCGCAAAGTATGCCACGCATTACAGATTACAAGAGTAAAGATTGAATACGACGCAACTGTGCAGCTTTACCAGAAACAACGGGTTGCGAACAAGCGATTGTAGTCGGTTCATTCGCGGTTATCTATGTTCGATTGCACGTGGTTTGACATTTTTCCGGCCAACTTCAGCCTGAGTTCAGGGTTAAACCCCGCAAAGTAAATAAGAGCACCGACAAAGCTGCGCAAAATTCCGGCATTTTCGCAGTTATAGCACCCGTGGCAACAACCCAAGAACAAAAACAGTTGCGGGGGAAAAACCCGCACAGCGGCCGCTGCTAGTGAAGTATACATGTGATCCACCTACGCAGCTTCCCCACCTCGCACCCACCCCCCTCGTACACTTGGCCATCATACACAACCGCCGACACAGGACGAAAAAAACCATCTACTCAGAATCGTTCGCCCCGAAAACGCCGCCTCTCTGTGACACGGCACCGACAAACTTCGGTCGATTTCCCGTTAATCTCGGTTTCACGGCAATCAGAGTACACGCGCGCATGACATGCACGTGTGCGCGAGAGAGTGTGTGTGCGTTGGGGAGGGGGAGACCGGACAACGACGACTATAAGTCAGGTGCTGCCCTCTCGTGAACACACACGGGCGGGAGGTTCACTCCAGACAAAAACAATTAGCGGTCGGAGAAGTCGACTTACCCGCTTCGGCACACGTTGAAACGTGACCGCCGACAGCAGATCAGTGCGGGTTCAACACCGACCTCAGGGGGTTTATTCTTAGCGCTGATACGCACTCACTTAGTGAACAAAAAACCTCCCACTTAAACCCACTATCAGCTAGGAAAGGGCATGAGTACACGTTCGCAAGAGGCGACAGAGTGCCGCTGCGGATCCCAATTCTCTTGTCGAATACTAACCGTAAAGTCGCTAAGTAGAAGACATGCAGAATTTGATAAGGCAGTTCTTTTTTTATATAAATAAACAGGTTAGAAAATTTGCTGATGATTTTTTCGCCGACTTTCTATACTTCGTACTGCACTCCTAGACCGGCACCTCAATTCACGGAGAAGGCATACGATACCCAATTTTCACAGCGTACGAGTATGGGAGGGGCGTTACATCCTATACTCAAGCACACATCCTATTCTATTGGCAACAACGGAAACGAGTAGACCAACGAACGAGAGACGCAGGAGAGTAACATTTGACAAACGCACGGTGTCAACTGACAACGCAATGCGAAAACAAATGCTCGGTTAAACGTCAAACTGTCACGCCCGCCAAAGTCAAGCATTTTCTCCAATTAACAAAAACAATAGTGAATACATACCCCGGCATACATTTGGCCATATATTCACAGAACGAATGCGGCCAGTGCGATTCACTGATTAACATATAGGTACACGTTATACCCTCCGGCAAGTTGGTGAACTCGGCAAAATCGGGATCCAGTTTGGTCACAGATGCAGGACAACAAAAACCTAATGACCGCAATAGAGCGTAGCTGATCAAGCGTCGACGCGCCCCTTTCCGCTGCTACGGCGACTGCGCGACGAGTGATCCGTATCGCCGCTAACGACTACGGCGAGCGAGCAGGCGAGCCGCGGTCGGCAAACACGCGCAGCGACGGCCGACGCCTCCAGTTTCGTATTTTTGCTGGCGGCCTGGCGGCGTCGAGAACAACGAGTTTCGCGAATTATAATCGTGCGTCTCTGCCTAGAAACAGCGCGCCGTGCTGCGGCAGCGTGGCGGCTTTGTCCCTGTTGCCAGAGCCGATGCCAACTGAAAACCAAGGCTGCAGCACGGGGGACCCGCCCCAGTTGCGCGCAAGAACAACTCTGCGAAGCGATACACTCAGTCAAGTACTTTTACCGAGCGAACAATGAAAATCCTCATCTCATTCTCGGTCCAAATGTCCGTCTCCCTCCCCTTCCCCCGCTACCTTGAAAAATTCCGCGCACGCTCTGAAGAAGAATTCGCGTTTGCACAGAAATTAAGGCGATACGTTTCACAGACGGGAGCCGCGCGCACCGTGCTTTGTGAGAACGCAGCGCAAGCAGCTTTCACTACGGACGTGAAATTCAACCCTAATACTGTTAACTAAACGCCTATTATAAAACTTCCCGGGCAGGTAACCAACCACATGAAATCGGCCACGGGCTACACTGATATATCAAAGTCATCGATATGGCTGTACTGCTGTGCGACACGCACTGTTCAAACAAATATTCATTGCCCGAGCGCTTGGCCAGCCAGTGAAACAGCCGTAACTGTAAATCTGCACCCCCACAAAACTTTCCACTGGCGGTTCACGGGCGGTTATTTAAAGCCAACAGCATCGCGTTGCTATAGCTGCGGTGCCAAGAGGCGCACATCTGTGGACATGGTTTACATCTTGGCACGCTAAATCAGAAAACACACTATACACGCAGTTCCACCGAAGCATTTGCTTGACGCAACTCATCGCTGCGGGGCTGCCGATGCTGAGAAACTTGAGCCGAGTCAATAAACATCAGCCGCCGCTCGATGTCCAGATAGCATCCTCTATCGAAATGTTTTCATCTGCTTACTGAATAATACTATCGGCTTGATCGCAACGTTTCCAATGCAATTTTTTTACGCATCATCGTAGCATCTCACAATTCGTGACTTTAGAGCAAATTCACGTAAAAAGCTATCAATGTTAGCAGGATTTTGTTAGACTCCTGATGTTAGTCTAAGCACGCAATAATCACAATGTGTGACGATGCGTAATAATAATAATTACTTATGCAGATATTCTTTACGCGTTTTCCATTTTTCTTGCAACCTAAGAAACCAGCAGTAATTCTATTCCACGTGCATTCATGACAAAACCACACGGATTTGCTAGCCGTCTATACATGGGTAATTACTATCTGTAAGCCACCCTATTTACACGATAGTGTTAGTCTACTCCTCCCAGTCTCATCACTCAATTCACAGCTGCTAATCTCACTGATGAGCTACGAATCGGACATTCTGCGCAACCCGTTCTACATGCATGTGAACACATTAGCACCCAACGAAAGGAAAGATCAGTCGACCCAATTGTGAATTTGCGTCTATTGTGTTTATGGCAGTAATATGAACAATGGATGTAACTAGACCACCAAAAAGTGCACCTGTGAGCTTTATGTACCCCAGTTTTCTACAGCCTAAAATGACTCCACCTTCAATAATTCATCGTATATATTTAATATAATGTTCGGTTAAATTTCGAACTGTAACTCTAACCGACACAAATGCATTCTTAGAACACGGGCACAACCACAGGCACTTGGAGCGTTTCAATAAAATATAATGCTAAATAAATACGAAATCTATTTACTACCAAAGTCTTAACGTTTCTCTACTCTCTTTCACCTATTATTGCCGACAATTTCCTGTAAATGCCTTCCAAATCCTCATCTGCCACACACGCTGGCTGCCGCACGCTAGCTGCTGCACACTGACACATAAATATATATATTTGTGTCAGTGAGTGTGCAGCAAGATTCAAGATTTAAAGATGTTTATTTGTGCATACGACATACATACTATTACATAAAGTGTACAACAGAAGATATGATTATGAGAATGACAGGTCACAATACATGATTTGACAGATGAAGCACGGGAGTGGCGAAGAACATCAGTCTGCCACCCCCAGCAGCTAGCGTGCGGCAGCCAGCGTGTGTTGCAGATGAGCATTTGGACGGCATTTACAGGGAATTGTCGGCAATAATACTTTAATAGGTGAAAGAGAGTAGAGAAACGTTAAGACTTTGGTAGTAAATACTAAAATAGATTTCGTATTTATTTAGCATTATATATTGAAACGCTCCAAGTGCATGTGGGCACAATTAACCACGCGGAAAAATTTGTTGTACATTATTACTAATTAAGAAAGCAGCACATCTAGCTGCACCTAAATTCCGCGTGTCTTCTACACACAAACAAGATGCGTGTAACTAGTTTCTTCTGTGTAGTATAATGTTGATATAAATTATAATATTAAAAACTCGATCACACACATGCCGACATTTCATTTTTCCCGGTGCATCGGCACAACATAATAATTAGGGCCTACTGACGATATTAATTTGATTTACATTTAATATAACCAATTTCAGTAATGTTCATCCTCGTCTTTCTAATAAAATTCAACAGGTGAACTTTTAGTATGACAAGAAAAAATCTCAGATTAAATCTAGAATGTACTTCCAGAATGTACTTCTAGAATGTTCGGATGTACCATAGATGGATGTACACATGGATGTACTTTCCGGCGATTGCGCCAAGCAGTCGTAGCGGTTCCCGGGAATTGACGTCACGAATTTTCAACCAATCGACGCTAAGAAGACGACCGATAGCCGGTAAACAAGATCGATAAAACAAAGATTTACAATAATTCAACAGTGAGAGTAATTAAATACGCTTACCTTGCCAAAGTATGCCGACCAGTGTGCTGGCGTCCACCCGTAGAAAATATCTTCAACATAAAAGTCGCATTGCCCGCTATCAGATAGAAGCAGATACGACAGCGCTTCGACATCACCATCTCTGCATAGCCGGTGCAACGGAAACTGCTTTCTTAAAATATCCTCGCTCGTATGGACCCATGAAGTTACAGGGATGTGTTCCTCCATCACTCACACGTTACGTTGTATAACTGTCCAATAAACTAAATTCAGATTTCTTGATAATTTGTGACGATTTATTGGGGAATCAAAATACAAAGGAGCGCGGGCAAACACCTGTCCTTAAAATAGTACATACGGGTACTTTGTACAGTGCGTTCAAATGTACATTGAGCGTCTGCGCGTGTCGCGAAACAATATTATGGGATTTTTGGAAAAAGGTTTTACACTGCCATCAAAAACTAAAAGCGTTGCTGTTCATTATAAAAATTAAAGTTAAAAATATTACGCGAAAAATGTAGAAATTGCAAATATTGTGCGCGACGCAAATGTTAAATAATCATTATAACAATAAAATTTATTATGATAAAAGGTTTCATTATTGCGAGCTGTATCTATTTTTTACGTGTAGCCGCTGTAATAACGGATCTTGATGGAAAAATAATTTATTTAGCTGGAAGAGAACAAATGTATATTGAAAATATGTGATTTAATTTGAAGGTGATTTTTTTAATACTCTATTGACTGTTGTGCGTGTAAACCCTATTTGACGTTTATTATGATAAAATCAAACCATACGAAAATCGTTACATAAAGTACATCATAACCGACAAATGTTGCCTCCGGATGAATATGCGCCGTGCAGTGAGATGAGATTATAAAGAAAATGCGGTTGAAAGAAAATCTCAAGTGCTTACAAGTGAGCATCTATGATAAGTGATGCAGCGCCATCTACCGAACGCGGGAATCACCTGTATTTATAAATGATAAATCGTAAAATCACTAACAACGTAATCAAAAAGATTACCAACTGACCCATAATATGTCGTCTACAAATGATTTAAAAGCAGGTGAGGCCATATAGATTAAATTTGACTCCGACTCTGAGTCTGAACTTAAGTTATACTGGTACTAGTGCTAGAAAGTATTTATATTTATAAGGCTAACCTATGCCATGCCCATGGCTATACTGCCTAACCCTTCATAGGCATAGCCACAGGCACAGGCACTTGGAACGTCTCAATAAAACAAAATAATGGTAAATAAACACGAAATGTACCAAAGTCTTAATGTTTCTGTACTCTATTTCGCCTATAATCACCTGTAAATGCCAGTCAAATGCTCATCTGCAACACGCAAGTACACTGCACGCCCGCGCTGTGCACAAACAACATAAATAAGACTAAGACTAAGACTCAGAGTAAGAGTAATACTATATAGAGCTCTCTTATTCATGTTGTTTGTGCACAGCGCGGTGTGCACATGCGGTGTACTTGCGTGTTGCAGATGAGCATTTGACTGGCATTTACAGGTGATTATAGGCGAAATAGAGTAGAGAAACCTTAAGACTGGTACATTTCGTGTTTATTTACCATTAATTTTTTTTATTGAGACGTTCCAAGTGCCTGTGTTCATAGCCATGCATCGACATAATCATAATGCTGTGTGTGGCTATACAGTAAATACAGTACTACTACTAGTACTACTACTAGTACTAGTAGTATAGCCCGCGTACAGTTGCGCCTGCGGCAGTAATTCTGTATAGTAATGCTAATTCATTTAGTAATGCTGATATAGGGTCTATGTCCCCCAGGCCAGGGTACTATCGGAGCTAGGGTACCCTGGGTACGGTTCGATATATCGGAAAGTACCTCGTGAGACTATACGATGTCGCTGCGTACCCTGCATTGTCCCACCATACCCTGACTTTCAACATCCGATTTCCGATGTTGTAAAACTAAAATATAAAAGCTAGCTCTTCATTTAAAAAAAAGGAAAAAGAAAAATATAGTCAAACACAGGGGAAAAAATACACGGGGGCGGCGGGCGATTTCGCCCCCGAAATGCCAAAAAGAGCCCCCGAAAATACGATATC